TGGCATCAGGATTGGAGGAAGACTTATCAAGAACCTGTGTTATGCAGATGATATAACTTTGCTGAAAGTAAGGAAGATGTGAAACACTTGCTATGGAAGATCAAGGCCTAGAGACTTTGGTATGGATTGCATCTCACCATCAAGAAGACAAAAATCCTCACCACAAGACCAACAGTCAACATTATCATAGCTAGAGATAAGACTGAAGTTGCTAATGATATCATCTTGCTTGGATCAACAATCAACAATCATGTAACCAGCATTCAGGATGTCAGGAGATGTATTGCATTGGGCCATTCTGCTGACAGGGACCTCTTCAAAATACTGCAGTCCTCCAAAAGAGCAATGATGTCAGTTGAGGACTAAGGTGCAGTTGATTCAGGCTTTGGTCTTCTCAATCTTACTATGATCTATTATGCATCAGAGAGCTAGAGAATGAACAATGATGACAGAAGAAAAATTGATGCCAATGAGTTGTAGTGCTGGAGGAGAGTACTAAATATCCCATGGACAACCAAAAGAACAGATATGTCCAGGAAAGGGTGTGGTCAGAGTGTTCCTTGGAGGCAAAAATGACAAAGCTTTATCTTTCATACTATGGACATGTAGCTGTTATTGTTGTTACATGTCATCGAGTTGCCTGCAACTTCTAGTGACCTTCTGCACAACAGCCCCAAACCCAGCTCTGTCCTGTGCCAATCTCACTGTCTCCAACACACCTACCCTCATTACCCCAATCACAGAATCAATCCACCTCATAGATGGTCTTCCTCCCCTGTGTTGTCCCTCCACCCTCCCAAGCATAATGTCCCTCTCCAACATATCCAAAGTATGTCAGACAAACCTTCAGAATCCTTGCCTCCAAGGAGCAGCCTGGTTTAATCCTCTCTGAGATGAACCTTTTCATTTTCTTAGCAGTCTATGGTTTATTTAATACTCTTCAGCAGCACCACAGCTCAAAGGCATCAATTCTCCTTCTATTCTCCCTAGTCATTGTCCAACTCTCTAATACATAGCAAGTGATTGCAAAGACGATGGCCTATATTAGGCACACTTAAGTGTCCAGAGTGACACTACTGCTTTTCAGTATTGTGGAGAGGTCCCTAATAGCAGAATTTCCCATCTCAATCTGCCTTTTCATTTCCTGGCTGCTGGTGCCTAAGTGTTGACTGTGAAGCCAAGCAAACTAAAGTTGTCCATCCTGATGCTGCCAATCGGCCCAGTGATGAGAATCTTTGTCTTCTTGATATTGAGCCTCAATCTATATTGAAGACAGCAGTCCTTGACCCTCTGCAGCAAGCACTTTAGTTCCTTCTTAGTTTCAGAAAGCAGGGTTATGTCACCTGTATAACACAGATTGTTGTTGAGTCTTCCACCAATCTTGATGCCACACTTCTCCTCATACAGCCCAACCTCCCAGATAATCTATGTGAGATTATTCCTTGGAAAGGGACACTGTGTTTGGAAAGATGGAAAATCAATGAAGGAGAAGAAGACCCCCCCACAACTAAATGGATTAACACTGTGACTTCAGCAATGAGCTCTGGTGTCTCAGAGGTGGACAAAATGGCACAGAACAAGGCAAGTGTTAGGTTGGCTATTCATAGGTTTGTTATGTGTTGTATTCAACTCAACAGTCCCCAGCCACTAAAACAACAAGGAACAATCATATAATAAAATACTATGTAACATGGGAGAGTCTAGAGAGCATTATGCTGATTGAATTAACACAGTCTCATAAGAACAAATACTGACCATTATTGTAAAATTGGAAGGATAACTAGTAAGATGTATATAACAGTTCAAAAAGGGAAGGGGAGGAGTCAGGGGGAAATTGAGTGTGGGGAGGAGGAGGAAAATCACTGGATGACCATGTTGGGTAGAGGGCAGGGGTGAAGGAATTAGGAATGATACAATGGGGACATGAAAGGACAGGGTAATAGTAGCCATAGATCAATTGTGCCTGATTTTCTAAAACACAGGACATATGAATGATTGTATGAAACAGAATGTGAGTGAAGGAATGTGTGAAACACATTGTATATGAATGAAACACAATATATATTAATTTTGAATGCAAACCAATATTAAATTGAAAAAAAATAATAGAAAAAGTCCCCTCCACTGGATCAATAGGCAACATTTGATAGATGGAGAAATGATTGAAGTTATCAACAATTTAATTTAACGTTGATCTACAATCAACATTCACAACAAATGTAGTCAAGAAATCAAAGGATGTACTACATTGAGAAAATCTGCTGTCAGGAATCTCTCCAATATGCTAAAGAGCAAGGAAATAAATGCAAAGACTAAGATGTGCCTTAGTGAACCCATGATCTTTTAAATTGCTTCTTATGAATCTGAAAGTTGGACAACGAATTGAGACGATCATAGAAAAATCAATGCTGTTTATTTGTGGTATCTTTAAACAATATTAACTATTCAAAGAACTTCCAAAAGAACAAAGAACTTTGTCTTGGGGAAGTACAAACAAGGTACATCTTAGAGCTAAGAATAATGAAAGGTAGCTTGACATATTTTGGGGTGTGTTGTTAGGAGGCATTATCCCTTGGATAAAGACAGCCTTCTGGGAAAGATAGGGAATAAACAAAGAAAAGGATGACTCTCAATGTTATTGACCCACTATGATGGTAAGAATGAGCTCAAACATATCAAGATCATGAACACGGAGAAGGGCAGGAAAAGGTTTTGATACGCTGATCATTTGATCACTATCAATCACAGTGGACTCCAAAGCACCTAACAAGAACAACAACAATATTTATTTACAGCACATGACCTGGATACTTACAAGGAGATTTCTTTTTTATAGTTTGAGGAGTAAAGATCAAGAATGACCTTCATCAATTGTAAGCTACAAGCACAGCAAACACATGCAATTAATTCCCAAAGAAAACGTAATAGCAAATAAAAGAAATGGCTTAGAAATAGAATGTGCAGTCAGCTGTCTGTTTTTACTTTAAGCCAAAATTGCCTCTCTTGCCCTTTACTCCTGTGTTGGTTCTTTTATCCTTTCCACTTCAATTCCTGTGTAATCCTATCATTCTTAATGTCTGTCTTCTCTGTCACATTCTCATTATCTTCCCCATCTCTTTGTTTCATTGGGTCTGCCTATAAACATTTTGAGACATATTGTTCTTTTTTAGAGAAAAACAAAAAACAGATAACAAAGTAAACCTTTTTCCCCCCTCTGCTATTACCGCCTTTGTGTTTTAATTCTTATTCTATTTCTTCCCCTTTCTTTTTCTTTTGCTCATGACCAGAGGTACTGCAATTATTTTCTTAGAACACAAGAGGGGAAGAGTATAGTGGATGCTTTCTAAAACTGGATTGTGCTGAGGTCCTTCTGCTGCAATTCTCCTGGGGTTCTCAGGTGCTAATTTCAAGGGTTCAAATCCTTTCAGAGGAACTAGTTCTTTCAAAATCTTGTGAATCACAGTCATGACATATATAGTTGCCATGTGGATTCTGGTGGCATAACCTGTACTGAGCTGTGCTGCTAACACACAGTTGTCTCCTCTCTGGTAACTTGAACCCACCAGCCACCCCATGGGAGACAATGGGCAAAGTCTCATCAAGCAACTTATTGAAAACTTTCTGGAGGGTCAGCTACGGGACAGTTCTTATTTAATAGCAATGAGTGAATGATAGAGTGCAGCCTTGTCATAAGTAAAAATCAGCTTGATAGTAACTTATTTTGTTTGTTTGTTGTTTAGTTTTTAATGTAATATCAAACAAATAATTTTATGAGTCTTTTCCTTCTCATCTGTATAATAGACCTACTACTCCTACAAACTGATTTGTGGAAATACAGTGAGAGGATATATTCACCATTCACTTAACTCTACAATAAATTTGTGAGGTAGATATAGTTACTAGTAAATCATTTACCTTTTAAAAGAGATTATAGGGTGCTTTCTTTGTTTATGTTATTTGTTTAAAGCTCATAAAATCATTGCCATAGAGTCTGAACTAACTCATAGCTGACTTCCCTTGTGTTTCCAAGGCTGCAATTTGTTAATAATCTAAGTTTAAAAAAAATCCTTTCTAAGACTCATAGGCTTTACATCACTGGGAAGGAGATCCCGCATCTTTCTCCCTGGTGGATTCCAGTATACAGAGAAATGTGGCCTTTGAGTTAGAAGCCCAGCTCTTCATGGACTATACTACTCTCCCCACCCAGCTTTCTAACGCCTCTCTAAAGAACAGAAAAAGTTAAGAACTAGCACAGTATTAATTTTAGAGTATTTTATATTCTCAGTTTTGGATACTAAAAGGAAGTCTTGAAGTAGAACATTCACTAAATTAGAATTCTCCAAATTTTGTTTTGGGGACTCCAGACTACTCTGTGAAGCAGTCTCCAGAAGAAGGGAGAGGAGGGTAAGAGCCAGAACTCCCAGATTTAGCTTCAATAATTCAATCCTTACAATATATTTTTACCATTTATTGTACCACCAGCTTTGTAAAATAACATCAAGTCCATGACTTTATTAAAAAAATGAAAAGACAAAAAGAGGGATGATAACTGAAATCTCTGATCTCTAACTTCTCCTTAGTGAGCTTGCTGGGATTGTTGAGATTTATCACCAAAAAGATACTCTGACCATGTTTCCGTGGTGAAAATGAGGTGACTGCATGAATTTGCAAGTTATATAAACGTAAGTGCTCCACTGATTATATCATCTTCAGTGTTATTTAGATTACATGAGAGTATAGAAACACAATTTGAATGTACCAAAACCAGAAAAAGTCCTGCATTACGGAAAGAAATATTTCTAAAATATTATCTAGAAATGCCAACAACAATAATTTTGAGATTCATAGCTTACAGTGTTTTAAAAATACAATACAAAGATCCCTACAAATGTAATTAAAAAAAAAACAAAAAAGTAGAGGCCTACAATAAACAGCAGCTTAAAGAAACATTGAATTTACTTCTCATAGTGAGGCCATATTGAGAATGAGCATTTACATACCGGATCGTTGGGGTTATATTGAATAAGGTATTCTATCTGTCCATTTGGGCCATCATCTATGTCTGTAGCTCCATTGTCTCCTGAAAACCCTGTAAATATCGTGGTGCCAACTGGAGTGAGCTGAAAGAAGAAGAAAAGAAAAATTGTCACTTCTCAATGTACCATCTGCACACCAAGTGTCTCAGCATAGGAACGAACCATTTTTAACACAAAGAATGAGTATGCAGCTGTCCATGATCCCATATCTGAAGTATTGCAGAAGAACTCTTGCAAACCTTCCAGCGCAGTTGTATAAACTCTGAAATTTCAAAGTCTTTAATTTCGGTAAGGAGTAGATACCCTTCTTTATTGTAAGTCATATTTAGGATGATTTCTAAAGATTAGCATAAAAGGTCATTGAAAAAATTTGAAAGAAAAAGCCAAAAATGGATGTTAAAATTCTGAAACTTGCTCTTGAAATATAGAGTAGCTTAAGCTGTGATTCACAGTGACCCTATGTACAATACCTCTGAATCCTACCCTATGCCTACCTTCATTCCCCAAGTTACTGTCTCAATTTATGTTATTTAGGGTCTTCCTCTCCTGTGCTCTCCCTTCACCTTCTCAAGCTTGATGTCCTTCTCTAAGTACTGGTCCCTCCTGACTTGTCCAAATTATGTGAGATGGAGCTTCAAAATTCTAGCCTCCAAGGAGCAGCTTGGTTTTATCCTCTCCAGGACAGATCTATTTGTTCTCTTGGTGGTCCGTGGTTCAACACTCTCCTCTGGCACCCTAACTTAAACTTTTAGTATGAAATAATATTAAATGAACCATATTCGGTCAGAGGAATGAACAAATCTGCTTTAGAGAAAATGCAGACAGAATGCTCCTTGTAAGTGAGAATGGTGAGATTTATGTCAGGTACTTCTGAAGTGTTTCAGTCTCAGAAGATGGAATTCATGCTTAATAAAGGAAGGTCCATGAGAAAGAAGAAATTCACAAGTAGATGGATTGACATAACGATTGGCTTTAATTCCAGTAGAAATTAGGAGGTTGGTGCCGGTTTGGGAAGTGTTTTATATAGAGAGTGTCACTGAGAGTAAAAATCCAGTTCCACATACATAACAACCACATAGCCATTATCATCTCAGTTCCTGTGGAGAAAATGCAACTTTTGGGTTTTTCCCCCCTTTTAAAAACTATGCATTAAACCATCTATAAAGTGGAATTTAAATTGTGTTTGGAACTTATTGAGTTTCCTCTATTTTCATAGGGTTTTCAGAGGCCTGATGTTTTAGAAGTGAATGGCCAATCTTTCTTCCTAGTCTGTCTTAATCTGGGAGCTCTACTAGAACCTCTCCACCATGGGTGACTCTGTTAGCGTTTGACACACTGGTGGCACAGAACTGAGAATTACAGCATCCACAAGTTACCTCTTGAGAGCAAACTGACAGACAAGTGTTGTACTGACCAAAAAAAAAGTAGGCTAGATTATAAAGAAGGTGAAATCACAATTCACATTATGAGAATGTGGTCATAAAAAACCAAGGAGCAAAAATATCTTCACAGAAAACACGACACATGGACCTGAAGCCTTAGCTACAACTATAATCCAGGGCATGTGGTCTTCACCCAAAGTCTGGAGAGGGAAACCATTCCCCACAAGTCTTACACATAGAGGGTTATTTTCCAGTCGGGAGATGTTGTTAGATGCCATCACTTAATAATGTATGTCAACTACAATTCGTAATATTCTAATGAACAAAAGATCAAAATCTTGCCCTATTTTATTACATCTGTACCATCTCAGTCATGCTTGGGCCTATTGTTACTATCACTATGTAAGTTCATCTCATTTAGTTTCTTCCTCACTTTTTGCTGACCCTCCACCTTTCCCAGCATCATGTCTTTTTCCAAGGCATGGTTCTTCCTGACAAAATGCCCCGAAGTGTGAGAGATAAAGTTTCACTCTCTTTTTCTCTAAGGAGGTCTCTAACTCTTGTTGCTCCACAATGATTCTTTTGTTCTTTTAAAAGTCATAGTGGACTCAACTCTTCCTCAATACCACAATTCACACACATAAATTCTTCTTAGTCTTAGTATAATTCTTTGCTCCACTGAGGATCAATGATACTAGTTTAAGACTCATGTGTGCCTGATTCTTTTCAATCACTTGCTATGCACCTGAAAGCTGGAGAATAAAAAAAAGGTAACAGAGAAAAAAATATGTCTTTGAAGTGTGGCATTGGCTGAGAGTGATGGATATCTCACAGACTGCCAAAAGTGCAGTTATGTCTTGGAGAAGGTTAAGCGGAATTGCTCCTTGGAGGCAAGGATGGGAAGGTTTCATTTCACATACTTTGGGCATGTTTCTACGAGAGGCTGTTCTTGGAAAAGGACATCCTGTTTGGAAAGGTGGAGGATGGCCAAGAAGAGGAAGACTGCCAAGCAGGTATACTGACACAGTGACTGAAGCAATGGACTTGAGTGTGTAAAGTTGGCAAGGACAGGATGGGGTTCAGATATGTTGATCATAGGGTTGCTATGTGTCTTACTCAATTCGACAGTACCTAACAGCAACAATAACAAATGAGCTTCAGGAAGAGGAAAAACTACCTTCTACCAGAGGAACAAGGAAAGTGAAAGTCTCTTTGTTGTTTCAAATATTTCTGTGTATTTAAAGCACCAAAGGAACCATCTTCTTCTGATGGTACTATGGCTTAAATATCATGTTCATAACCTCATTAGAACCCATGCGGTAAGAGGGAGAACCCATCAATTGTTCCAAGAAAGAAAGAGGCAATTGGTCTATTATTTCCAAGATTTACTGATTTCTAAATCTAATAGGATATTTCTACTCTGTCCTGACAGTATCACTATGAGTTGGAAATAATTCAGTGACAGGAGGTTAGTGTGTGTTGTGGGTTTTTTTGTTGTTTGTTTTTAAACTCTGATGGTCTAGTGGGTAAGTTGTTGTGCAGCCAAGCTGAAGCCATGTGGTCCAAGTCTACCAGTTGTTCTGAGGGAGAAAGAGGGGCAATGTATCATGCAATTTTCAGCCACTGAAAACTTGGTGGAGGTCAGCTATGAGTTAGTTATGACACAACAGCAATGAGCTTTACTTTGAAATCTTTGTAAAATCTACTTATGCAAAAATATGTTTCAAAACCATTTATTCCCAGCATGTTTTTGAAGGCCGTAGTTTTCACAGAAGGAGATTGTCCATCTTTCTCCCACAGTGCAAGTGGTGAATTTGACTTAGAATTCTATTCATTGGTTAGGTCTTGACTTACTGGATTTTATTTTCTCATAAAACATTTTCTGAATAGCATTCCCCACCTCAAGTCAGAATAGTGAATTTTGTTCAACTTGGATTTTATACTTTCCTCCTTCTATTACAACATTTTTGAAATAAATATACAAATATATGTCAACAATGAATATGGACTTTGTACCTTTAGATGTCATCATTACTAAGACTTGGTTTTGTTTTTAGTTTTTTTTTTTAATATGTCAGTGAAATTCTTTCATGAAGAAAAAAAATTAAGGGAAAAACAAAATAAGGAACATTGTTTATAAATTTCTATTTCAGGGGCTTCAAATTTGGCCCAAACACCTAAAGAGAACCACAGAAAATGCCAATCATTGAGGCAGCCGCATAGGAAAGGTGGCAATTATGCTATCTCTAAAGCAGTTGCTACATCTCATCCCCAGAAGGGTTTTTTTTTCCATAATGGAATATTTATCCATTGTAACTATGTCTTCTAAGACTTAAATTTGATAAATTTTTCTTGATTAGCAACTCATTCATAAAATTTATCATAAAAGAGCCAAACCCAACATATCCACTGGGCTAAAATAAATTGGAAAACTCTAGAAGAAGAATGTAATGATGATTAAGGAAATAACCCTAAAGACAAAGTTGTTGCTAATATTTTTGTTAGGTGCTGTTGAGTGGATTATGACTCATAGTGACCCTACGAAGAGCAGACCTGACCCCTGCTTTACCTTATACTGTCTTCACCTTCTCTTCTATACTTGATCTCATTGCTCTAACCACCGTGCGATTCATCTCATTGAAGGCCTTCCTCACGTTCATTTACTCTCCACCCTTCCAAGCATCATGATGATCTTTTGCAGGACTGGCCTCTCCTAGAATCATGTTCAAGCAGTGTGCGAGACAGACTTTCATCTTTCTTCTCTCTAAGGAGCACCCTTTCTGCATCTTCTTCAAGACACATCTGTTTGTTCTTTTGGCAGTTCATAGGATATTCAGTACTCTAACACCACAAGTCAAAAGCATTAATTCTGCTGTCAATGTCAGGCTTCAGACACATAAAAAACAATTGAAAGGATGATGGCTTCAATCAGGCACATTTTAATACTCAAACTGTGATCAATGCTTTTCAGTAACTTGGAGAGGATCACAGACATCCCCAATCCAACAGACTGTTTTTTTCTTTCTTTGCATACTCAATAAAGCACAAATAGACAAACTCTCCGATTAAGCAGCTTTAAAGTCAAACATGACCATTCTGTAGCTCAAAAGGAGTGGAGAATAAAGTATGCTTATATGGTACATGTAAGAATAAAAAGCAACATTTGTAAATTGGTTAAATGAAGGTGTTAGTTTATGAGGTTAATTCCAAGCTTTCATTTTATTTTAATGGTAGTCCTTATCTCAAAAGATCTCTCTCTTTCATACAAAATTAAATCATTCATATGCTTCTATTCTTACATTATAAAATGTTAGAACTGGATTACAACAATATAGCAGTATTTCTTGATCTCTAATAATGTAAACATACTATTTAAGCAAAGATTTTGGAGGAAAATATCATAAAAACAAAACAATACTTTGAACAATAGCTTTCTGTAGATATTTTGGGAGAACAAGTGTGCCAGTGTTTCAACCTGTTTATTGAGGAAGGACAGACATTTGGATGAAATTCATTGCAAAGCAGGATCTTCCAGTCCACCAGCTGTTCAGGTACCACAACAATGTGCAATAAAATCAATCTTGTAGGTAAAAAAAGAAGAGATTCAGGAAGAATTCAGTCTATATGCCAGACTGTTGAACATTCTAGGATCAATGAATAAAGTAGAAGCCAAGAAATAAGGTTAAAAATGTGGATAAAGGG